ATTTCATAAGAAGCATTACACATATTATGTATAATGAATTATAAACAAATGGTAAGCGTACTTGGAACTACTATATAAGCAAACTCAAAAGAGGACAAAACCTTGAAGATTCTATAATGTGTCTGTCCAGTAAACAACTGTTAATAAAATCCTTTTGTTGGAAAAATATAATTAAAGAATTTACGTACTTTTAATCTCCTTAAGTTATTTTTAAGAAAACAACTTAGGTTATTTAAATCATTAAAATTAAATGTCATTAAGTATGTGTTATGTAAAAATTATAATCATATTTTAGGCTTAATTTATTAAAAGAAAGTGCATATAATTAATATATCCAATTTTAATAATTTTGAAATGTACTAAAAGGATGACCATATGGTTTCACAAATTATGTAATATCCAGATAAGATTCTTGTGCTCTTTAAACACCTGTAATTTTTCGTTTTTGATTGACGATAAGAATTTTAGTAAACACATTGGTTTTAACATTTTCTCACGGATTCGGGAACAATGTAAGGGTTTCGCACGTTTAGGTTAATACTGGTTTATTATTTTAATACATGGGGTTTTACAAATTGACGTTTTATTTATATTTAGTGGGTGTGTATTATTTGGTTTAATGTAGATTATTAATGTGGTTACAAATATACAGTCAGCGCGTTAAAGCCCCTTTTTGACTTAAAATTTTCTTGAATAATTTTCAAAATGACGCCGTACCGTCAAAATGTCACATTTTTGTGAGGTCAGTGTGTCCAGATTATTGTAAAAAGAGACACGGTACGATTCTCGTTACGTCAACAGCTGTTTATAGTCAGCTTCTAAAGTTTTTTAATTAATCCATAATTTAAATTAATAATTAATAAGTATTGTAAAGAACTTTATTAATATTCAGGTCTACACCGAAAAAAATAATGTAGTTGAGTTAACGTTTACCTGAATGTCATTTTTGAAAATGTTGTTTCATCAAAAAACCTATTGGATTAATCTATATTTTGGTGTCAAAGCAATAGTCAGAGTTTGTCAAAGTTTATTTGTTCAATTGTCAAAGTTTATTTGTTCAATTAATTGACAGTTAAAATATTGATTTAACCACAGACCAACAAAGGTCTGTGTATTTAACATAAACTAATTTTTTGAATTAAAATGTTTATCCTATTTTGATTTGATAGCTGGAATTGGTGAATCAAATACTGAAATTTTTAGAATTACCTAAAAAAACTATTAAATTAACGTTTAGTTTCTCTTTAATCCAAAACATTAAATTGTAAATGTTACTTTAAAATTTGTTAATTTTACATTTATAAAATTGCCGTGAAGGGGGCTTCGAACACCCACGCCACGTCATTAGACGGTGTTGATTACGTGTTCTTACATCTCGCCACAGTTGGCTTACGATATAAGGTATATAAGCTCAGGTAGCCGTTTGTTTTGGGTGTGTTCCACAGTGGAACTTCCACTACACCAAATTGCCCGACTGATATAGGTCGAAACAGCTGTCTATCGGTAAAGTCATACTTCAGGGGCATGTATACCAACATAATAAAGAAAGTTTTATGACAACCGGACCCTCCGAACCCGCGAAATTTAACAATTCCCGTTATTTTCTGAACACACCTCGTATATATTAAACAAAATATATTAACATATTAAACAAAATATATTAAACCGCGCGCGCGATTATTTTTGAAAGGCTTACATTTATCGGAAAAGATATCTTTTAAATGAATTGTTTTACGAAAAAAAAACCAAAATATGTATTAAGCTTATATATATGGCTTTATAATTTATTAGAGATACAGAGATACAAAATGTTTTCATCGGACCAATGTGAAAATAAAAAATTGCAATAAGGAGGATCTTACTCTTAATAGTAAGAGCTCATACGTAGACAGGCTGCTTTTGAGGTGCCCAGCAATTTTTAGATATCATAAGTCAAAATAATAATAATAATAATTATTATTTATTTCCATGGAACATACATAAATGTGTTGAAATAGTCAAAAAACTAAACCAAAAAGCTAAAAACTAAAAACTAGAAAATCTAAAGAGACAGCAGAGTCAAACCACGTCAAGTGGGACCAGAAATTTTCACGAAATCACCGATTTTGAAAATAATCACATTATTGTGTAGTAGGCATGACTCATATGTCACAGTAAAAAAATTGTTTTAAAATTCGTTTTTTTGGTAATGTTATTAAGGTTGACAATTTTGTCAAACTTTAGAGCACGGTAAAATTGAAAAAATAGAATCTCTGGGACCACTCTGTATAATTGAATTAAATTTTACACACTATTGTAGAAATGTTTAGAGTATATAATGATCATTTAATTAAGGTTAATTTGTTTAAATAAAAGAATTTTGCATACATTTATTATAAAGAATTGAAATTTTGTATGTGTTCTTCACGCTGAAAAAAAATTAATCTTGTGTCATAATATGCGGCAAACGTTTCTGTTTAATAAGATGTAGGTACTCAAAAATTTGCCTTTCATATGTCATTCCGGAGATATTAATTTTTTTGTCCCGCTGTGCGCTTGATCAGTACGCGGCGCGCTTCGCTGCTAGCTCGTTAGCACACGGTGTGCCTGAACGAAGTTTAAGTCACATAAAAATTCCGCAGTTTCTTGTTCGGGACCCTTTGGTGACTTAAAAATGATATTTACCAAAATCCTAGCTGCTCCTCTTTTCGAAATTTTTTGAAAAATCTTTTTTCTGCATTATGCTTTTTACTATATAAAAAAGTAATTTTTGTCTAACCCTGTATAAATCTAAGCATATATATATAAAAACAGTTTCTCTCGTTTACAATATCGGTGTACAAATGTGTACTCTGGCAAAGGTAGACTTTGCTATAAACAAATAATTTTAAAAAAATTGAATTTTTTACAAATTAAAAAAAACAGTTAGAATTTTGGTAAATATATTTTTTAACTTCAACCAATTTTTCGTTCAAAATTGAAAACTACTAAAAAGCCTAAATTAAACAACATTTTAAATACTCTCTAAGCGTTATTTTATTAAATGTTAATACAAATCTATTTTTCTTGTAAAAGGTTAATAATAATGATAGACCTAGAAATATCTAAAAAAAAATTGGGAATAAATATTTTTCGCGTGTTATGCTAAAATCATGAATTTACGCTTTTGCATTATTAAAAATAAGTGATTTTTGGCTAACCCTGTATATATCAAATGATGTGAACAGTATTAAAAAATATTCTCTAAGTCTCCTAAATAATATACTCTAATTTTATGAAAATCCGTGTGCAAATGTGTACTCTGTCAAAGAGATAAACAAAAATTTAAAAAAAAATCATGAATTTTCGAACAATTTCGAAAAGAGGAGCAGCTAGAACTTTGGTAAATATCATTTTTAAGTCACCAAAGGGTCCCGAACAAGAAACTACAATCAGTTTTTGGCGGCATTTTTATGTGACTTAAACTTCGTTCAGGGCCTGAACTTCAGGCACACCGTTAAACCGTTCGAACGGACGAGCTAGCAGCGAAGCGCGCCGCGTACTGATCAAGCGCACAGCCGGACAAAAAAAATTAATATCTCCGGAATGACATATGAAAGGCAAATTTTTGAGTACATCTTATTAAACGGAAACGTTTGCCGCATATTATGACACAATATTAATTTTTTTTCAGCGTGAAGAACACATACAAAATTTCAATTGTTTATAATAAATGTATGCAAAATTATTTTATTTAAACAAATTAACCTTAATTAAATGATCATTATATACTCTAAACATTTCTACAATAGTGTGTAAAATTTAATTCAATTATACAGAGTGGTCCCAGAGATTCTATTTTTTCAATTTTACCCTGCTCTAAAGTTTGACAAAATTGTCAACTTTAATAACATTACCAAAAAAACGAATTTTAAAACAATTTTTTTACTGTGACATATGAGTCATGCCTACTACACAATAATGTGATTATTTTGAAAATCGGTGATTTCGTGAAATTTTCTGGTCCCACTTGACGTGGTTTGACTCAGCACTAAAAATTTACAACCAAACAAACAAAACTCTGATAATGTAGGTAAATTGTTTTAATATTGTGAGGTAGCAAGTTAAAGGCTCTAGGACCCATAATATCTGGAGTTCTTTCACTAATATTAAGTAAAAAAAAGTATGGTAGATTTTTTGACCTACAGGGTATATTCAATACTATAATATAGAATACATCAAAACACTAAAAAATCCATAATGATGAAAAAAATGATTTTATATTTAAATACATTATTCAAATAACCAATAAGAAGAAGTCTAATGGTGTTAAATCACAGCTTCATGGAGGCCATTGGACATTTAAAGAAATAATCAAGTTAAGTTGTGAAATTTTGGACGTTTTAAAGTTACTGAATACAAAAGATCAAGCAAAAAAACTTAATTCCAAACCAAAACTCGTGACAAATATGTACAGTTTCAATATCCAAGGCTTAACGATTTTCCTTGGGATGTATGTCAGGTGAATCACGTTTCTTTCAAATTTACGTTTTAATTATTTTGCTCGAATGTATGATTTTCGGTACGAAAACAGTTGGAAATCACAGGAAAGACACGAATGCGATTTAATTTTTTAATAGTTGTTTGCGTCTTCTATTTATTGTTAACTTTATGGATTGGAAGGCCAAAGTTGATGATTTTAACGATGCAATAAAAATATATTTATAATTGGAATTAAGTATTCTTTTAAGTGTTAATAAAATTAATTTTTATACATATTTACTATAGCTTCATCGCCATTGTTGCATGATGTCTTTGTTAAATCGCCATTTGTTCACACTTTAAAACATATAAGTTTAATTACTATTGCTTGTTCTAGTAAACAATAGAAGAGTTTAAAGATTGCATCATTAACAATAAAGAAGCGAATACAAAATAGTGGGGATCGAAGTAAAAAAGCAAAACAAAATGTTTGTTGCTTACATCTCGCTATTGTTTCAGTTGTTTCTGTGTTTATAAGCAAAATGTGGATGATTTCTTACCAGTTCTGTGCTCATAGTGTTGCACCCCCTGAGAGGCAGGGCGTATTGAACAGGGGATGCTCTCTGCACCCATTCACCCATGCAGGTGCTGTTTTTCGATAATCCCCTGGGATAGATCATGCCGTTGAATCTTCCCGACCTGGTGCTGATGCTCACCAGGATCTCGTCGCTGTTACATTCTACTCGTACGTCGGAAGCCACTTCTGGAGCACCTAGAAAAAAAATTAATTCAATTAAATGTTTAAAGCAAACTGTGTAATATAAATTTAAAAAATACATGACAAAAGAATCGTGGAATAAAATATCAAGGAATGAGTTAAAAAATACACTGATCGACAAAATGAAATTTTTTGTTAGCCAATAACTTTTCTAGGGTAATTTGGGTGTGCTGCTTCCAATTATTTTTATCAATTAGCTATTTTTGCTATATTGTAAAAAACGTTTCGACAAGCAAACAATAAAATTCGTTCATATGTATACAGGCTGGTCCAAAAGGAACCTTATTTAAAAATCATTAAAAAATGTTAAAATAATATTAATAAACTTATATCGAAAACTCAACAGTTTTATAAATACACGGTGTAGATGTATTGTTGTATATATTGTCCCAAGCAACAATTTAAGTATTTGTTACGTATATGGGACTATTGAAGAAACTTTAAAGTGTTTTGCGACAGTCGCCGGTCTCTTTATATTACTCTTTCATTACTAAGTTACGACTAAAGTGGGGAACAATTATTGAGTTCCAAAAAGGTAGCAAATATGTCACTAGCTATAAACCCTGCTACTATTTGGAACGTAGCTGCTACGTTACTAGAACGTTCCAATATCGTTGCTAGAGCGTTATAATTACTTTTATTATTTGTTTTTACTTCTATATTAACTGTCTTTGTCAAACTTATATTAGATTATACTATCCCTCCTTTTTTAAATGGAATCACTACGGACTTGGCTTTTCAATGTTTATTAAATATGTACTGGTAGTTTATAACTTCCAGAATAACAATATAATGTTTAATTAGACAGGTAAATTTATAAACCCTTTAAATTTTACTGTTGAACTTATGAATTTAGTTTTTGTAAAATAAATGCGCTTCATCAATATTTAAGTATAAACTAATTATTTATTTAGTAACGTTTATAAATAAAAAAATCTTAATATTTATTATTTTTTTATTTAATTATTAATACCGTCTATTACCAACAAAATTACTATTTATTAAAAAGTAAACAACCATTTACAAACAATTAAAATAATTTATTATTTACCCTTCCTTTGAAGTAGTTTTCGCTACTTTAAAGTTTTTTTCCACTTTACGGTTGTTTTGGTTAGTACCATAAACGTTCCAAATACTAAAATAATAACTTTTAAGTTATTAACTTTGTAGTTTTTAACTCATGTTCCAGTTTCGAGATTTTAACTTGCAAAGGGACTACAAAGGAAAAATAATTATAATGTAATCTTTAGGTAGCAACCGAAAGTAACTGCTACAAATTAAATTTACTTGAAAGTTTTTTTTACTTATAACACCTTTTTTAAAGTTGCAAAGTCTTCTTGGGGGCAACCAATTTTACTTAAATGTTTATTACTTTATAGTAACAATTTAAGGAAAATTTAAGTTTCTGTTACAAAATATTGCCATTTAAAAGTTAGAATTACTTTTAAGTAAAAATTAAAGTAGCTGTTTAGTATACTTAACTAATTTAAAGTTATCACCACTTTGGCAATGGTTTTTGGAACCAAAAATGCTGCTTGGGGTATATATTTTAAATAAATTTCTCCTAAAAGGTACCATAGTTAGGCATTATATTTTTCATACCATACCAGAAAAAAAGGTACGGCGATTTTTTTTTAAACTTCCACATTTTTTGTATATAAGCAGTCCATTTTCGAAAAAAAAGTCCTCTTGAAGTTTTTTCGAAAAATGGCTCGTTTCATAGTATAATTGAAATTCCAATTCACTGTAATTAAATTTTATCACATTTTCCATATGCAGAAGGGGGGTTTTGGGGGTTCAAATTCAAATTTAACCTCACTTTTTTCCAAATTATAATAAAGCTAACTTCAGCTTGTGACAAAATAGCTTACAAGTCACTGTTTCTAACTTTAGCCCGTGACTAAAACGCCATAAAGTCACTGCTCGACAATGTAGGAGTAGAAAAAATTGTTAAAAGGTATGCACGATTATAAAATCCAAAATTTTAAATATTTAATTAAATTACAAATTATTTTTCTGGCAATTAATTTTTCAGTAATAAAACGTTCAAGTTTTAAAAAGCGACAATATTGCTGTTGTTTTTGGAAACAAATCCCCGTTATTTGTCCATTTTATTTTATTTAATCGTATCCCCACACAAAAATCCATTACAGAACAATATTTACTTTTACTTCCAGTAGGTATACCTATAAAAAAGCCACATTTTTCAGTTTTTTAAAATGGCTTTAAAATAATTACTTTTTTTAAATAAATTTTTAAAACACCCTGTATATTACAAAAAGTACTTACAGATCTATAAAATAACTAAAATCTTGTTCCGTTATTTACAGTTTCTTTATTAAGTACATAGGTACTTAGTTTTAACTTTTAAATATTTAATTTGCTTTTATCACCTGCAGGTAGAGAGATTTTTAAATACGATAAGAAAATTACTTAAAGTTGTTATAATAACTGTGAAAGTAACTTACTTAATGACATAATAATATGGGTAGGAAATACATAGTTTTAATGCATATTAAAAACTTAACTGTCAACAAAATTAATTTCTTGATCAAAAAAAAACAAATTAGAATGTACACAATATAGTTAATAACTAATATTTACAAAAGTAAAAGGTACCCAACACTTAATTTAAAATTATTGTGCAATGTTTCCTAGTTATAGTAATACAATCTAGAATGTAAGTGTCAAATTTCAGGGCAACATTTCTAAATGAAATACATAATATAGTTGGGAGAAATTAAATTTTAAATTAAAAAAATAGATATAAATTAAGGTTTATTTTTAATCTTAAAAAATGAAACTAAATTTAAAATTTTTTTATAGAGAGTTTAATTAAATTTTTAAGAGAATCACTTTAATCGTAACCTTTAAGAAACGTTACGTATTTATTAAAAAACTTCCACTTTCTACTTCCATCATGAAAATTAATAATTTATTTATTATTTACTGTAAGCTACGCAGAATCTGCACATTAAAATAGACATTTTGGCAGTGTAAAAACTTAAGTATTAATCGTTTCAAGTTGGTTGGGTACGCGACCAGAATGAAAAGTGAAAATGTTTGCCAAAATTTAACCCACAAGTGCATGAATCAATATGTTAATATGTGTTGACCCTGTTTTTACTTTTATTTCATTTTTATCACGTATTTGTATACACCATAACTGTAAAGTATTAAATAATACGTTAGAGTAGTAAAGAATCAAGATATAAAATACAAAACTAGGTAGTTTTTAATAGTATAAGGTTTGCATTTTTAGTAGGCTTTTTAAAATTTAAGTGCCTAAATGTCCGGTCTGCCGTCCCATAGTGTATGTCTATAAAAATATTAAAAACTATAAAGATCACACGAACACTGGATATGATTCGAGATTTAAAACAGCGTTAAGAATTTTGAAAAATAGAAGAAGTAAAACGCAAAATTCATTTGATTACCTCGGAGTATCATTTTTTAACTTGCTACCCAATGATTTAAAAAGCAAACCTTTTAAACAGTTAAAACTCCTAATAATAATATTTTTAGGAATAGGAATGGGAATGGGAATAGGAATAGGAATAAGAATAGGAATAGGAATATAAATAGGAATAGGAATAGGAATAAGAATACAAATAGGAATAAAAATAAGAATAGGAATAGAAATAAGAATACGAATAAGAATAACGATTAACAAGCCCATATTTTCGCTATAAGTCCTTTGGAACGAAGTTTTTGATGACCTTTAAAAATTTTATTCAGAGAGTTAGGTACTTGACAAAATATAGACAATTTATTAAGACGTTTTCTGAATAAATTTTACTAAAGGAAATGTAACTTCCTCTCTTATAGTATTAAAAAAGGATGTAATAATTTCCATTGCACAAAAACAGTAAACAAAACATTAAACAACACTCTTACTTTATAAAAAAGAAAGAAAGCTGGAATGCAAGTACCGTTGAAAAAAGATTTAATTCTAGGTAATAGAAAAACTATTTTCTCACAAAATTAATTTCTTATGCCTTACTAAGTAGTAAGTAGAAAAAAATAGTTATTAGAATAAGGAAGTAATTTAAAGACACTATACATTTACCTAATAACTAGGTACTAATGTATGTATATTAAAAGTAATTATTTAATTAACAATTATTGTAATAAACAATAAAAGTGTGAAATTAGAAATAATTTTTATATACAAAATATACAGGGTATCTCGAATTCCATTCAAAAAAAATAAGGGCTAATTCTACATCGCAAATTATCAAAAAAGTTCTCAGACCCTATATTGACATATTGACAAAGGGGGATCATGGGGCAGCGACGACCCCCATTTTATTTTATGGTTGGATAAATTATTTTAACTACATAATAACTATCCAAGCGACCAAAAGAATAAGGGAATAAAAGCAAATAAAATACCACATATTTTCACCCATAATATAACAAGTGGTATGATTATCATCGATGATATTTTCGAATTGAAACCGAAATGCAGATTTCACGAGTCCGCAGGACGAGTGAAATGTGCTGCTTCGGTTTCAAATCAAAAAAACGTCAAACGTGTAAACAAGATGATAAAAAATATTGCCGCTGTGATAAAATACGTCACTATGGAATGCTGGCATTTTATTGGTTCTAATATTAATGAATTGTATTGTCACCCATAATATAACTAGTGGTATGATTATCATCGATGATATTTTCGAATTGAAACCGAGCTGCAGATTTCACGAGTCCGCAGGACGAGTGAAATGTGCTGCTTCGGTTTTAATGAGTAAATATCATCGATAATTAATCATACCACGAGTTATATTTAGTGAGAAAATATAATGAATTTTAGGATTTAACGAATTTTTAGTTTGACATTTGAAATTAAAATGTGCTTTAAAATATAAAAAGACTTTAATAAACCTTATTTATTCAAACTTACCTTAATTTTATTATCGTTTACACCAACCCATCGATCTTTTAGAGTTTATAATTCATTATTTTAATAATTTAGGTAACAAACAGTATTT